CTCCTTGAGGTTTTCTGTCGCACTGACCAGAAATGTATATGTATGATGTGTACGATCATTGAACATAAAAACCATGACATTGTATCACCTGCAGAACAGAGGACAGAGAAACAGGTATTTCAAACTCACGATCAAGTTAATACTCAGTGTATTGATCCAATAGTCTGTTTATTTTCAGTGTAGAGCTGCAGCTGAATTACACAGAACACAGAAACACTGTCAGTGTGAAGCTCTACATCTGTGTCAGTTTCACTTTTATAATACTCACACTTGCAGTGTTAACCAGGCCTTAATCTGATTTAGTGGCAGTAGTTTTCTGTGAGATTCACTATCATCCGTTTGTCCTCCAGCACCAGCATTCCACTTTTACATAATTCATCTGTTAACATAATGATTTAGTGCCAGTAGCTTTATGTGAGATTTACTATCATTTGTTTGTCCTGCAGAAGCAGCTGAAGGAGACACAGGAGACGTTCCAGCAGAGAATCCAGCAGAGAGAGAAAGATCTTCAGCAGCTGAGAGAGGCTGTGGAGTCTCATAAGGTGAGTCTGGAGAAGAAGAGAAGTTTGTCTCCGTCTCAGTTCAGACTCACTGAAGCCTGAATCACTGTGTGTCCTAACAGCGCTCTGCACAGACAGCAGTGGAGGACAGTGAGAGGATCTTTACTGAGCTCATCCGCTCCATTGAGAGAAGCCGCTCTGAGCTGATACGGCTCATCAGAGATCAGGAAAAGACTGCAGTGAGTCGAGCTGAAGGACGACTGGAGCGACTGGAGCAGGAGATCAATGATCTGAGGAGGAGAGACGCTGAGCTGGAGCAGCTTTCACACACACAGGATCACATCCAGTTCCTGCAGGTAACAGAGATCTAGAAGAACAGGATCATAGTGGACTTGAGCAGATCCTGCTGTGACAGAGACTCACAGAGAAACAGTTCATGAGTGTCTTATTATATAATCATCAGTCAGACTCTCATCTGATCATCTTCTTCTGAAAGAGACGCCGCTTACAAATGGCTTTCAGCTCTGGGTCTCTAACGGCTGTAAAGTTATAAATAATGATCAATCTAATCTTAGCCTTTGAGCTGCTTTTCTTGAGCAAATCTACTCAACCCTACAATGAGACTCCATTGAGCTGTTAGATGGACATTTATGTTCTTAGCAGATGTTTTATCATCCAAACTATTTTCTAGAAAGTTCACAGAGTGTAAGTGGCAAATACTAGAATCTGTAGCTATGATGTGATTTAATGAATATGAGAAGAATGAAGCTGATGCTGTGAAAGTGCTGGATTGAGGAGAGTTACTAAAGGTCAGTCGAGTCAACAAGAGCCGCACAAATCTGACATGAGTGTCTTATTATATAATCATCAGTCAGACTCTCATCTGATCATCTTCTTCTGAAAGAGACGCCGCTTACAAATGGCTTTCAGCTCTGGGTCTCTAACGGCTGTAAAGTTATAAATAATGATCAATCTAATCTTAGCCTTTGAGCTGCTTTTCTTGAGCAAATCTACTCAACCCTACAATGAGACTCCATTGAGCTGTTAGATGGATT